TCGATTCCGGTTGATTCTGTCCCCTTATTTGGTCTATCTTAGGGAGGAGGGATGGCGGTGCTTCATGTGGGATTGGTTATCGGGTTATCGTTTTGCAGGCAAGTGTTCTGACGTCCTGGTTGGTTTGGTTGTTTCCCGTTGTTTGGCCCTTTGAGCGCGGGGCGGTGCTGTATGTGGGAATCGTCATCCGGGATTGTCTTCTCCTTCTTTTTGGTTGTCACATTGTGGATTGGAGCCTTTTTTTTGTTTTGCTGATTTTGTCTGTACCTCGGTTGGTTTGGTCCCGTTGTTCGGGCTATCTTATGGGCGTGGCTGTGCTTTCACGTGGGACCAGCCATTCGGGTTTTTGGCATCCTGGTTGGTTCTTTCCCGTTGTTCGGCCTTTTGAGAGGCGGGGCGGTGCTTGTATGTGGGAATCGTCATCCGGGATTGTCTTCTCTTTTTTTCTTGGTTTGTCACACTGTGGATCGTCGCTTTTTTATGTCTTGTCCTGGGTGGTCTTGTCCCGTTGTTTGGCTTTTGACGGAGCGGGCGTTTTGTTTCCCCCTGTTCTATTTGTTTCATTTGGCTGTTCCCTTCCTCTCTTCTTTGCCTCTTTGCCTTTTGGCTGTGTGCAAGTGGGTCGATATGACACACGGGGGTGGGGGCAGCCGCCGCTCAACCTACATCCACGCGTCTGTGTTGGCGGTGTGCCGCTCTACACTCAGTCCGTGGGACGCGTGTGGTGGAAGCCGTAAGGCGGGCGTGTAGATGCCTCCCTCTTGAGGGCATCATACTCGCACACTACCGACTTTTTTGCTTATTTTTTCCGCCGTAATTGCGGTCAGATGCATCCCAGTCCCGCCGTGAACGTGGTCAGATACATTAAAGAAAGAGCTACCGTGTGAGTACGCCCTGAAGATGACCACTTGCGCGCGCAAGCGATCGAACGACGGCATCCAACCAATTAGCCTAGCTCCGTTGGTACAACCATGGTGGTCCCCACCTGCGCAATACTCGGGCTTTCTTGTCCTGCAGCAATCAGTTTGAGCAGAAGCGGGTCTGGTCTGCCACCTACTGCCCCCCCCCAAGTGCAACAACCCCCCAGGAGCCTGTCTAACATACTATGCTATTGCTGCACGGGCCTCAGCCCGGATCACTGCCCGTGCTTCTGGCACCTACTGCCCCCCCCACGTGCAACAACCCCCCAGGAGCCTAGTCTAACATACTATGCTATTGGTGCACGGGCCTCAGCCCGGATCACTGCCCGTGCTTCTGGCACCTACTGCCCCCCCCCACGTGGAACAACCCCCCAGGAGCCTAATCTAATACACTATGCTATTGGTGCACGGGCCTCAGCCCGGATCAGTGCTACCTTCTTTCCCCGAATAGAACGTACGGTCATTTTCGCTGCATCTGGTCAGAAAGGTGAGCCAAATACGGCTCAAATGAGCGTACGTTGTA